CTCACACAGCTTAAAGGTTGTGATCTGAACGTGGCTCTTTCACTCCAGCGCTGTCCTACCAGACAGTCTCGTCCCTTCACCTGATGAAGGCCGCTTGTGTTGTGGCCGAAACTTCGTGAGAATATTATTGTGTTATTTTATTTTATCAATTTATTATTTTATTCTCATTCTACGTGACTTTACCGAAAGAACCAAAGAAGATTAATCATTGCAGTCACGAAAGCTTTAAATCGAAATTTAAAGCCCTAGGCTTCAGGCTTTTCGTATTGTGCATTTATTATCCTTTAAGGTTTGTGAATGAATATTAGGAAGCCACTGGGGCAGATTGAAAACTACTTTCTTTAGAACAGTTTTTTTGCATGTTTAGTTTGTTGTCCTTTCCCCGCACCTCCGATTATCGCGGTCGGCTGTGTACGGTTCGAAAGAAGTTCAACGTAGGTCTGTGAGCTGCTCACACGAGACGGCCTGGTGACACCCAGGACGGGTCGTAGGCAGGCCTCATTTATAACCGCACAGAAATTCGACTCAACACTCACAAACACCCATACACAAACACACACACAATCGCAAACACACAAACAGTGACAACAACCGCAATTTGCCGCTAAGTGGCGGTAACCTCACCACAACGCTTGTGCCAAGCTATGTGCACGACCCAGGTGCCACGGGTCGACTGACACACAAACGCAATCAGACGAAGACCCCATTTAGCCTTAACATGCTTTTGGGGCAAGTGCTATTCCCGAGCAGCATAAATGGGGGCTGGCATGGCACAGGAGGAGGTGTGTGGGTAGCACCAGGCCCGGCCGCCTTTATTTCCCGAAATCACAGGGAGCAGCACCCAGGGCCATGCGAACTGCCGTGGTCATAGTGGTGAGGAGTGACGCGTCGCTCATGCTCGTGAAAAGTGCATGGAGAGTCTGTGGCGGAGTGCTTGAGCAGACCGAGAGAGCCATAGCAGAAGGACTAAGACGCCATGGCGGAGGTGACGGTGGTGAAGGAGGGCTGGCTCTACAAGCGTGCTGCAAGCTTATGACTCGGGCGATGAGAAATCAGGTGCACAGGCCGACAAGACGGAACTGCAGACCACGCTCCGCTCGCTGTCCTCCAAGCTCGAGGATACGAGCACATGCAACGACCTGCTCGGCAAGCACGGAGCCGCCCTCCAGCGCTCGCTCCATGACCTGGAAACCCTTAAGCTGCCGCCCGAGTGCAGCGAGAAGCTAAATGCCGTCAATAAGCGCGCCACCCTCTGCCGCTTCACCTCCAATGCTATGATCAATAGTGATCTCTTGCTCTGATGTCACATTGAGGGCGGTGCTCATCTCCAAAAACTCAAACACACGGGCGAGAAGCCATGTATGTGTGACGAGTGCGGCAAGACGTTTTTCGTGCTCGGCCTACAAATATTTTTTTCCGCTTGTGTTGTGAAACTGTGTGTACACTTGATATTTTAAAGATAGCAGTTATTCTGCTGTGTATCCTACTGCTGTCCCTCCTGGCCATATCTAGTACCACACTTAACTCTACCACCAGGAACCCTCATTACTTCTCGTCTATACTTATTGCTCAATTTGCCACTAGACCTGCTAATGAAACAGCTTATAGACACTTCTATACTTCATCATTGTATCCTTTTAAACCCTATCTCTGTCCTATTACTTCACCAGCACTCTTTCCAAACTTCATTCTGCTCTTAAAAATATCGCCATCTGCGAGCTGCTGCTATTCATCCAAGGTTCGCCGCTCTTCATCCTTTCACAGAAAATACCTGTGCAAACTATTAATTCTACATTTCTTATTTCTGAGAGGTATTGCGCTTCATCATGGCCCAAATGTAAAGAAATCGTATAATTCTGTAGATTTTTCTGGCAGAAAAGGTGTTGGTGTTCTACATGTCAACATCAGAGGGCTTGTGATAAAATTAAGTCAACTAAAACTACAAGTGGCAAATCTGGACCCGGACATTTTTTGCCTTCCAGAAACATTTCTCACTCCTGCTGTAAATGACTTGCAGATTACGATTAACAACTACAACCTTTTTCGGCTTGACCGAGGGTCTAAAGGAGGTGGAATTGTGTGGTACCACCGCGGCGGAGCAGCTCCGTCGGGGACCGTATTCACCACCGTGACACCGCCACCGGGGAGTGACGACGCCGACGCGGCGCGCCCCTAGTCCCCCCCCCCCCCCACATGTATACACACACACCCCACGTAGGGCCGGGGGGGAAGGTCACCTGGCTGTCGGGTTTTTATCCAGAAGCCCCTAATGGGATCAAGCTTCATGGTTTTCCGCGGCCGGGAAATTGGGCAATCTACCCCAGAGGCTGACACGCACTGCGGCACCGTGACCTGACATTAAAGTTGCGTGGTCACGGCGGAGACCGTTGCGCCACCGCGAGCGAAACCGCACACACGGCACGGGGCGTGTGAACCGCAAGATGCCTGTGGTTATAGATGGAATTAGGAACTGAATGCCTGTTGTTATAGATGGAATCAGGAACAGAATGCCTGTTGTTATAGATGGAATCAGGAACAGAATTCCTGTTGTTATAGATGGAATTAGGAACTGAATGCCTGTTGTTATAGGTGGGATTAGGAACTGAATTCCTGTTGTTATAGATGGAAGTAGGAACTGAATGCCCTTGATTATAGGTGAGCTCCCGAGTCCAAATAACAACAGGATAGGAGCATTCAGGCCTCTGCATAGACAGGGCGGCGTGGGGTGGAAGCATCTGAATGTCTTTTGTTCTAGAAAAGGTCACGGATCAGCATGTGAAAAAGGACGAAAATAACTCAGCCTCTGAATGTACAGGGCGGTACGGAGCGTGGGAACCACGGTACGCCTTTGTCATAAGTAATATTACAGATCTGAATATGAAGGAGCACGGGTGGGCAGGCGCCAGAGCAACGGAATTCCTTTAGGGTGTATAAAAAACGGAGGCTTAGCGTAGCAAGGGACAGTCTTCTTCAAAAATCATCGCGGTCCACGCAGGAGGGGAGTCAGCCGTTCGAGACGTCCGCGTGACGAACTTCAGCACAGCCAGGCTCAACCCTCTACGGATCGCTTTTCTACAGCTGCCAGCGCAGCAGAGTGGAAGCACGCGTAAGAGAGAGAGGTAAGTTTGGGCTATTTGATCGAGGATAGAAAGCAGAGCGATAGGCAGAGGAAATACAGTCTAGGATCCCAAGGAGAATAGGCTGACATCCACGGACCCACACAATTACGCATAGCTTAACGGGTCGCTCGCGGTAAATAAAATAACTGGTAGGGGAATAAATTGTGTCGTGTGGTCCTTTGGAGAGTGAAGAGGAGGGTGGAGAGTGTTTTGTGTTCGCGCGCACACGCGGCTGTTTGCGGCGAATAAAGGAGTAGAGCGTGCTTGGTGTCCGTACCTGTACGATCGTTTACAGTATTGTTCAGCACGCGCGTGCCTACACGACTATTTTTGGTGGTGCCCAGCGCTCGCGTACCTGCGCAATCGCCTACAGTAGCGCTTAACGCTCGCGCGCCTGTGTGACGGGGTGGCGGTCGCGCACTCGCGCGATTGTCTAATAGCGAGGTAGCGAATTAAGCGCCTGGCGTGCGCGAATACGCAGCTGTGTAAACGGCCCGTTAAATCGGAGCAAAGTAATCGCAGCATGTTTGTTTTTGCTTAAGCGCGTGGAGCGTGGGTGGGAAGGAATCCCACGGCGGCGCGCCACACCTGTTTATTCCCGTGCAGGACGGGGTTTTACTTTTCGAGCGCGCTCACCACGGCACGCCGCCGTTGAACAGTGTAGCGCATCGCAAGCGCAAAGCGTACGAGCCGCTAATTAAGCTATGCAAACGCGGTCGACATCCCAGGCAGAGGTACAGGGGGGCGAGACATTAGGGGTCGGTAGTCTGGACCTGACAGAGCAGCCGGGGGGTAGCGGTATGAATGGAACGGGGGAGTCGGTGGGCAACGGCCCCGACAATTCAGTGATGGTAATACTATTGCATGTTCACCACCTCACTCCTTGTTAAAAAAAAATGTTGCTTTGAAGGTCTGGCTCTCAGAATAACTCTCCCAAATAATCAACAGATATTGGTAGTGTGCTGCTATAGACCGCCTAGTGGTAAGGATGTTGAAGCTGCGTCTGCACTGAGAGCTTCTTGGGGGCCTCCCTAAAGGTGAAATAGTTTTAATGGGTGATCTGAATTGGAATTGGCGAAACCCACCGGCCGTGGATACCAGTATGTCGTCCATACTGTTAATGTGAAGTTGAGGGTGATGTTTTTTGACGAACGTGTTGAGTTATTTCAGGGCTGCTTCAGGTTGAAGACGTCTCGACTACCGATTAGCACGTTTGGCTACGTGCGGTGCGAAATAAATTCAAAAACAGCCGCCATTCGCCAACGGCGCCTGTGCCAGGCCAGGTGCACATGAGGTGTCGAAATCTCGCTGACAGGAAGGTCTCGGGACCGACCCAGCAGGTGCCATGGGTTGGCTGAGGTGCACCAGCTGTACCCTCTACTGTGTCAAACAAAGACAAAGATCCCTGGTATAGCCTTAACAGACTGTTGGGGCAAGTGCTGTTAGCGAGTAGCACCTATGAAGCCCGGCACGGCACACGAGGGGGTTGGGTGGCCAGCACCACGCCCGGCCGCCTTTGTATCCCCAGTGGCGACGTTTACACACCGTTCCACACGTGTTAATTCACACAGACCACACACCCGTCCGGCCCAGTCATTCTCGCCATGATGTCCGCACATTCCCCTTGACGTCTGCACGCTTCCCATGACGTCATTTGTGCGTGGGTGGGGGTGAGCGATGACGTCCACACCCCCCTACCCACTGACCCGCGCGCCCACAGAGCAAGGATCGCCATGGGCGATGACGTCTTTAACCGCATCAGATGCGGCGGCCATATTGTTTAGTTCACAGATCGCATGGGGAGCGGGTGGCTTCTTGTTTAGTTCAAGCCCGCATCCAGCGTTGCGCGACGCGATTCGGCGATTCACCCTGGGGGGGGGTCCTCTACACCATCAACTACACTGTACCGCTCTTGGTGTGCATGCGCAGCGTGTTCGCCAATTTGGTGGCGTAAACAAACGCGTTCGTACATTGTACGTATGTTGAACTTCTTTCGTACCGTACGTAGCCAACGGCGCTCATCGGTAGGTGCGGGCGGGGGTGGGGGGAGACAACTAAACACACAATTGCGGCAAAATCGACTTCACTGTGCAAAACGACTCCATTCGTCCAATGCAATCGGCGAATCTTGGAGTCGTGACGTTTCACGCAAACACGGCGGTGTGTGGAGAGAGAAGGGTTGTGTTGAACACTCGTGCTGCTGCTTCGGCTAGCGGCGGTGGTTAGTTGTGGAAGGGGAGGCAGTCACGCGAGGGATGAGAGCGAGAGACGCGGAGGCGATGCGGTTCGTGGCGATGGCGTTGGTGATGGTGGCGTGCGCGAGTTGCGGGGCCGACGTGAGTCCTGGGGAGTTCCGAGTGGCGAAGATCGAGCAGGCGTGGAACAAAGCGCAACGCGTGAGGAGCTTGCACTCGACTCCCACCACCATCACTCCTCGCCAGCGTCACTATTCACTCCCCTCCATCACTCCTCGCCAGCGTCACTGTTCACTCCCCACCATCACTCCTCACTCCCCACCATCACTCCTCACTCCCCACCATCACTCCTCACTCCCCACCATCACTTCACTCCCCACCATCACTTCACTCCCCACCATCACGCCTCACTCCCCACCATCACGCCTCACTCCCCACCATCACGCCTCACTCCCCACCATCACTTCCCACCATCACGCCTCACTCCCCACCATCACTCCCCACCATCTCCCAATATCACTCCTCACTCCCCACCATCACTCCTTTTTTTACGATCAGAAGAAACAAGAAGATGCTCGGTGTAGTCGGCACTTTGCTCCGTTCATCATTTCGTTTTTTTTTAATGCTTTGCTTTATGTAACCCCCCCCCCCCCCTTTTAAATGAAAGACCCAATTTTTTTTCTTTTTTCTTTCCCCTTCCCTCTCTCTCTACCCCCCTCTCTGCCTCTCCTCTCTCTCTACCCCCTGTCCGCCCCCCCCCTCTCTGCCCCCTCTCTTCCTGCTCCATTTGGCTCTCTCTCGCTCTCTCTTTTTTCTTTATAACTACGACAAGTGCTGCATCTGCACGCATCACTCCTCACTCCCCACCATCACATCACTCCCCACCATCACATCACTCCCCACCATCACATCACTCCCCACCATCACATCACTCCCCACCATCACTCCTCACTCCCCACCATCACTTCACTCCCCACCATCCCCCACCATCACTCCTCACTCCCCACCATCACTCCTCACTCCCCACCATCACTCCTCACTCCCCACCATCACTCCTCACTCCCCACCATCACTCCCCACCATCACTCCTCACTCACCACCATCACTCCTCACTCACCACCATCACTCCTCACTCACCACCATCACTCCTCACTCCCCACCATCACTCCTCACTCACTACCATCACTCCTCACTCCCCACCATCACTCCTCACTCCCCACCATCACTTCACTCCCCACCATCACTCCCCACTATCACTCCTCACTCCCCACTCCCCACCATCACTTCACTCCCCACCATCACTCCCCACGATCACTCTTCACTCCTCACTCCCCACCATCACTTCACTTCCCACCATCACTCCCCACGATCACTCTTCACTCCTCACTCCCCACCATCACTTCACTCCCCACCATCTTCACTATCACTCCCCACTCCCCCACCATCACTTCACTCCCCACCATCTTCACTATCACTCCTCACTCCCCACCATCACTTCACTCCCCACCATCACTTCACTCCCCACCATCACTCTTCACTATTCACTCCCCACTATCACTGCTTACCATCACTCCTCACCACCGTGATTTCCTCACTCCCCACCATCGCAAACACTCCCCCCATCCTCACTCCTCCCCACCACTCACCCACCCACCATAACGCCTCACCACCATAATTCCTTACTCCCTACTCAACCCCAACTTTCACTCACCAACAACACTCCTCACCAACATCGCTCCTCACCAACATCACACCCCACAGGGCAGTAAGCACCATCAACTAACTACTGACCACCATCCCACCTCACGCAGGCACCCTCCTTCATCAGGGAGACCATCATCCAGCAGTGGATTGGCAAAGATCTGTCTCTACAGTACACATTACCAGTGTGGTCTAAATGTCTTGTGACCGCCCAATTAATTTAGCCCGAATTGTTGTTTCCTTTGCGTATTGATTTATGTTTTCAAACCCATTGGTATACACCAATACAACGTTTTAACATCGGGGTCACATGACATCTGGATCACCCTGGCGTGCTGTCTTTCTACTCGCTTCGATTAACACTTTATGGGGAAGTCAACAGTGCTTGTCACATGCAGAGAATTGCCCAGCCATAGGAATGTGGAATGTCAAGCACTGGTTTCAGGGCTTTAAACGGGATATGTGTACCCTCAGTGTTTATTTGAGCGGGACATCACTAGGGACATTACTATGACGAAGGATTTGCGGGGTCAAACGTTCCGCTTTGTGTCGCATTAATCAGAGCCCTATCTGGCCTCGCGCTTGTGTTACGGCGCTTCTGATGTCTTTGTATGAGGTCTGAAATGGTTTTGTGTTGAACCAGGACCCATGTCGAAGAGAAAACGTACTTGCCAATAAACATCTGGCAAATAACCAAGCGCGCATGACTGCTGATGAGATACTTGAATGTCAAAACAGGTCCCGTGTTTGCCTGTGTTGGTTCGACGCTGCTGAAACTGCACTCTCCGAGGGCCGTGTGGCTGATGGCACGTGTAGCTGATGGCACGTGTAGAAAATAGTTTAATATTTATTGTCTAACCCCTGGATCTGGGAATGAGGCGAATTGTCTGCTCATTTAAGATGTTTTGATTTAAAGCTTTCGTGACTGCAGGGATTCATATTCTTGGTTCTTTCGGTAAAGTCACGTAGAAGGGAAACAATAAAATAACGATAAAAAACCGCCGCTTTTTTCAAATTTTCTTGCTGTGGTTTTCACACCTGATGATTGCTTGTGTTGCAGTCGAAACGTCGTGATAAATTTATTGTTTTATATTTTTCATCTACATCTAAGATGTTTTAGTTAGACTGGAGGAATCCGATGAAGTATGAAGCTCTTTTTCAATGATGTTCAATTCGAGTGACGACTTTTCGCGGAGTGTCCTGGATTGTGATGTTTAGTCAATACAACTGAGGTTGCGTCTGGTTAATTATACAATTTACCCATTTATTGTGATTGCAGATTAACTCTGCTTGTAAAAAAGTAACACCTTAAACATCTAATATTCATTCCTATCATTCTCCATTACCACATGCAATGGTTCACGTATTACCTTATAACTCGTGACCTATGACTAAGGTTAAAAACCAACGGAACTTCACCCTCATTCTACATGTTAGCTTTACATACATTTTTATAGCCCCACTTCAGTATCGGAAATTATAGCCCAACTTACATATGCGAAATGTATTTACGTAATATTGATTTATGTTGGTGTGGTGTATCGACTTTGTTTTTGTTATAGAGTATCTGGGACAACGGTGGTTGTCCTATGGATAGACTCGCCTCCACCATAGGATTGTGGAATTTTCATCACTTGAACGGCTAAGGGATATAATCAGTAGATGAGCAGCGCCTCAATGCTTATTTTCGTAGGACATACCCTCTGACTTTTCAAATGAGGTGGATTGGTGGTGCGGTGGTTCGCGGGTAAATAAATTAGCACCGTATCTTAATTATTAATTATAGTTATATATTAATTACATCAAAACCCTTGAGTGGCAACATTCAACTGGACCAGTGCTGGATACAACTTTTTGTTCTTGCATGTGATGACAGCAAAGATGTTCAGGAGCTAGATGCTTCATGAAAGAGCATTTTGTGGTTTTGCTATTTACTCTCTATTTACGGAGGAGCTTGGTATTTTCTCCAGGATATGGTCCATAGTTTGAACGGCATTGCCACAGTCACACCAATGTGGCTTGTCTTTAATGTATCCCTGTGTCTCTGTATCTCTTTGGATCTAATGGGTGTACTCTGTTGACCATAAGTTGGGTTGCATAGCCACAATCGCACCACTGTGTCTTGTTTTTAATGTTTCTCTGTGTCTCTGGATTTCTTTGAGTCTATATGTATCTCTATGGATCTATATGGGTTTACTGTATGGTCCAAAGGTTGGGTTGCATGACTTATTTTATTTTATATAAAAAAATCTAATACATGTGCGCAGCCTCTGGGCCACCTAGAGCTGCATCACACGCACAAAAGGTGGCGCTCGAGACGTAGCTACGTGCACCGCTGCACCCTATTTATTATTTAACTTTTTACTTTTTAAAGCCACCGCTATGTCCGAAGATGCTTTTTTTCAGGAGGGTCTTGCATTGGGTTATTTGACCAATACCAATTATATCCTGCACCTCCGATGAGCGCGGTTGGCTGCGTACAGTGCGAAAGACGTTCAACATATAATGAGTACATCCTATGTTTGTATCTTTGGGAAGAAACCAGAGAACCCAGCGGAAACCCATGCAGATCAGGGGCAGATAATACAGCAAGGCGCCCGAAAAAGTGTTGGCACTGTGCGTGCCACCCTGCACCATAGCCCTGCCTCTTGCAGTCTTTGCCTCCGTGTTTGTGTTAATAGTTTTTTTTAGGCAAGTACAGTTTCAAAAACACAACACGTGAACAAAAAGTACTCCTCAGCCTTGTATGTTATGAAAAAAAATCATCAGCAATTCCTGAAGAACTGAATTGTGGTCCTCTTGTCATATGTATACATCCATTTAAGCAAATGTGACGGAATGCCAGGCAGCAGCGAGACAGATAACTGTAGACTGGTTTTATCCTCATTGGGACTCATCAGCAAAGTATAGTCACTAATGCTGGCTGCTGTAAAGTTTGCAAGAGATGACCAAAGACAAAATGACCACAATGCATTTCTTCAATCTATCCAGCACCTGCATATGAACTGACCTCATCACTCCATCTGCTCTGCTAGAAAACTCTTGGATGCTTTACATTCCTAGCCTGCCACTCGGTTATTATTTATGATCATCGTTTATTACACTGTCTTGCAATTTTTGTTTACTGGCATTGTGTGCCCCAGAAAACTAAGCACATGTTTGTGAGTGGAGTAATAGTGTTGTGGTTAGTGTGGCGGCCTTGATAGGTACTCGCTAACAGCACTTGCCCCAAAAGTTTATGGAGGCGATACAGGGGATATTTGTCTTTGTTTATTTTTGGAGCAGTAGTGTAGTGGTTAGTGCACTGTGCCATAAACCTGGCAAGACGAGTTCAATTCCTGCTCACGGCCAACACCAGTGACAATTACCTGAACTGTCTTGGGGCTCCTCTAGGTTGACTCAGCCTCAAATGAGTACCTGGTGAAATGTTTAAGCATCGCTACTGGAGAGACAAAGGCGGTCGGGCAAAGTTCCGGCCACCCACCCCCTCGTGTACCGTTGTGGCCTTCATAGGTTCTCACTAACAGCACTTTCCCCAACAGTCTGTTAAGACTATGGATTTTTGTCTTTGGGGCAACAGATACAGCTATCGGCGGTGCAGCTGTCGGATCTGCACGGAGAGCTGCGTCTGCTGGAGCGGCAGGAGCTCTCGGTGAAGCGGGACGGCCACGTGGAGGAGCAGCAGAGAGAGCAGCTCAACCGCAACCTTTTGGGTACGAGAGTCACAGAGCCGCAAAGCCACTCGCTCTGCTTGGTCAAGCCTAGAAAGCAGTTTGCGCCCAATTGACCAACAAAATCAATACGCAGACAAACGCCTCCTTCCCATATTTGCATCTGTTCCATTTTCTCCATCGTATGTGATCCATATTTTATCGCAAGTCATCGGCACTGATTGAAAACTTTATTCTTTAGGCACAAGTTTTTCATTGCTGATGTGAACAATTCACCTCCTTCACATAACTGTCTCCATATATTTCGTCAGCCACACAGCCTTCTGGGAGGGCATTTTTTTTCTAGCATTGGTGCAATATAAGCAAATTCTGGATCAGCTTTGACATTCATTTATTCATTAGCAGTCAGGTTTGCGTGAACCAATACTGGTAAACTGACAAATCTTGTAGACAAGGGCCCTCTTTGAAAGATTGGGTCCTCGTTTGATGCAAAATAATATAATACGGAAAACAAATTATAGTGTTATAGAGAATACAAGTATCAAAATAAATAAGTAGACATTACGCCTCCTTCATATACGTCTCTCCACATAAAATATATTTGTCTGAACTATGTATAAAAAAACATATCTTTTTGGCAGTTCTCTTGTCGATTACAGTTGGCTCTTGATTAGACATGGGTGGATTATCCGGGTTTGTGGATTAACTGGGCTCAAAAATAATGAATATCTTTACACAAGCGCTCCCTGGTTTTGTACGCTGCTCAATCTTTGAGGTTCAGTCACTGCCCATGGGACATTAAACACATCGGCAAGTAAACGGATTACTTTAAGAAGCAATAAAAGTGTAGAAGAGTAGTGTGATGACGTCATGTCCTGAGCGCTGTAAGGTGTGATGACGTCATGTCATGAGCGCTGTAAGGAGACTCCTTCGAGAACAGGGGCAGGTCCGAGTGAAGGGGAGGAGCCGCCCAAGGGGTACTTAAGGAGGACTCCGTGACGAAGGCGTGGTCGTTGTGGGAGCCCGGAGTGTGGATCGGCAAGAAGGAGGTCTCTCCCGCTCGTGACCGGACGGTATTGGCTGAACCCCCGTTCGGGGTCGACGAGTGGGAGAGCCGAAGAGATAGCCGAGAGTAGGGCTCGAAGAAGTCTGTGAGAATCGGCTAAGAGTGAGTGGGGTTTTTCTCCCCTCGGCCGTGCGGTGTTGAATGAACCCCCGTCCCGGCCCGAGTAAGAGAGCCCAAGGGATAGTCGAGGTTAGGACGAGTAGAGCTTGGGGGTCCACGGGAAGGACCGAGTATAGAGAACACCTACCCCTGGTGTGAGCTGAGTGTTTAAACCGTGTTAATAAACGGCGAAAGCCCTTACAAGAAGTTCTGTCTCCGCGTGGTTCTACATTATCTGAATCTTATTTGGGTCATCTTAACTCCCCCCTATTGCCACGAAGAAAAATCGCTGAGTGTTGCTTGTGATGTTTTTTGTGATGGCTTTGCTCAATGTTACCTGCGTGATAAGTCGATCTTTGCAGATCGGTCACCTGCCGTATGTTCACTGCACTGACTGTTGTTGCTCACCACTCGGTGATTTCTCGAACTTTTTAAATTCAGTTTGTGCATGTTAACAACTATTTATTTTTCATCATAAAAGGTTTTTGGTTTAGATTGTTCTTACAACAGGAAAAAAAATCAATGTTATCAAAGGCTGTTGTATCAACATAGGCTAAACTTATTTGGCATCGATTTCTGCAGACCCTAGAGGGCACAGTTTTGACTTGCCCTCATTTTGCTTAGTTTGTGAACTCGATTAATGAATACAAATGCGACCATTGCAGTAGAATCGATTTAGCACTTTTGGAGTTGATCAGTTTCGTGAAATCATGTTGTGAATAGTTTTACACAGTCACAGCTGCAGGGTGTCGAGACTTCCCGCCCTTTCTGGGCCCACGCACCACTCACTAACTGTCAACCCTCAGCACTTTTGACGCACGTGCATTTGACATTCATCCTCGTCTGTTACCTGTTGGTACTATAATCGCCCTATAATATGTTTAATGTTTCTGTAACTTAATTCTGTAATTGTACTTTGATTAATGTACAAATGATCTGTCCTAGCCGATTTGTGTTGCAGGGGATTGAATATTTTTCTTTCGTTTAACATGTATTTATGGTTGTGCAATATTTCTGATTGCTCTCTTGTGATAGTTGTTTTTGTTCTGATTTATATTTCTTCATTGTTGTTATTTACTTTGTTGCTATTCTAATGTTGCTGATCCAGGTCACGTTTGCAAATCAGACTCATCCCTTCCTCTTTTGTTCCACCTGGTTAAACAAAAGAAGCTTGAACACGCAGTCTCACCGCCCGCCACCAAGCACACCCAAAATATTTTTTTCCAAATAAAAAACCCCACCATAAAAACGCTCTGTAACATGAATTAAAATTTCAAGGGAAAAATATGTCAAGAAAATATTCAACCTCCCTTTTGGTTTATTAATCCAAATCATTACACAATGTGCAGGGAGATTTGTTCTTGGCCCCATTCTCTTGGCAGCGTATGTGTCTCATGCGTCTCCAGTAGCCAGGCTCAAGAGTGTCAGTGTAAACGTACATCAGTACGCTGATGATACCCAGCTCCACATCCCCTTTGAAAACTTCTGATACGGACATAATAACATTGCTGTCAGAATGTGCCCACAACACTGGCTGATGCTAAACTACCTGCAACTCAACCCCTCAAAGTCTGAGGCCATCATCCTTGCAACTCATCAGAATTTAGGACGTCTAAACATAACCAGTTTCATATGCTTGGTTCTTTTGGTAAAGTCACGTAGAAGGAAAACAAAATAATAAAAATATAAAACGAAAGAACCAAGAATATGAATCCCTGCAGTCACGAACGCTTTCAATCAAAATATAACCAGTTTCCATCGTTCTGGTGGGTAGTTGCATAACACCACATAGCAATCTCAAGTTGTTGGGTATTACACTTAACAAAGATCTCACCTTTGAATCACATATCAGTGAGTTAATCCGGATTTACACTTAACACACCCGAGCACGATGTCACATCAGAAATTGCAAAGATAAGGGTGTCACAAATACTTTAGTGTATAGTCTTGGTGCCACATGCCTTTACTTTTGTAACTCGCCTCAGCAAACGTCTCCAGTGTCTCCAAAACACCCTCCTGGCCAGAGTCGTTTGCCCGGCCCCATCTCTTTTGAGCTCCTCAAACCTTTTGAAGGAGCTCCACTGGTGACCAGTGCATAAGAGAGCTGAGTTCAAGGTCGCAGCAAAGACAGCCGGTCAACCAACTTACCTACCTAAGTGATACCAATCGCCCATGTGCACCTTCACGACACCTACGCTCATCTGATATGGACCTACTGTGTACAAAATGCACTTTACTTATGACAACGGAAATGGAGGTTTCCATCGGGAACAGTCTGCCCACTGAAGTCCACTCAGCCGTGACAATTGGTTCTTTTAAGACCGGAATGAATACATTAATTTTCTTTTTTGTTTGGTTTAACTTAGTTAAACATTTCTCAACTTCTTGCAGCAAAACCTGTGGTGTTTTGGGAATAAAATGGTAGTTCTGCAGAGCACAGGGAGAAAACTACTGGGATAGATGGTCGGCTTCCACATCCAGCATCTGTCATGCACTGTGGGTACAACTACCTGTGGGGAGTGGTAGTGTAGTGCTTAGTGCACTGCGCTATGAACCCAGTGACCCAAGTTTGATTCCCACTCACGGCCAACAAGAGTGACGGTTATTTGAATTGCTTTTGGGCCTTCCCGAGGTCGACTCAACCTGGTGCGGTGTGTAAACATCGCCACTGTGGAGACAAAGGCAGCCAGGGCGTGGTGCTGGCCACCCACCCGCTCATGTGCTGTTGTTCCGGCCTTCATAGGTGCTCGCTAACAGCACTTGCCCCAACAGCCTGTTGAGGCTACATGGGGGATTTTTGTCTTTGTTAAGCCACCACTGCCTTCTGATTAACTGGAATATTTTTTTAAACAGCTGCGGTTGTTTATACAGAATTTCAATATTTACATATTGTTTACAGGTGACTAAAAACAGCTAATTTTTTAGCTTTGATTTCATTTTGGTGCCACTTGCTAATGATCTGGTTTTTATTTTTCGCCGTTTGTTGCCTTTTAGCAATCTCTTACTTTTCTACATTATGGTAAATATTGTGAAGGCTTATCTTTCTTGATGAATTATTTGATACTTTTGGGTTAGATTGTGTGCATATAATGCCAACTTTCAGCTATACCCCCTGCCACCTGACAAAGCCAGTCAAAAATCAAGTTGCCACGTGGGCATATGTATTTTTTCTCTTGTAGTGTTAATGGATTGACTGGCTTTTAATCAATTCAAATGGGTGGCATGTCTACACTCATGGTGTGTAACGTAGCTGTGTTGGCACGCTACGGCCTGGATGGAGGAAAGAAGGAGAACTTCGGGCTCAACTCCAATCGGCTGATGGAGTTTGGAGACAGCAAGCCGTTCAGAGACCCAAAACTCAATAAGATGTGGGAGAAGGTGAGTGCATTGGTGGACGGCGAGTGAGATTGGTTTTGCCCTCGGAATGTGGAGTTTTCCACCATTAGTTCAATTCGTTCAATCCAAACTGACTTCGTTGCTGCATCTCCTCAATGGATGTCCTCGTCCGTTTTGGGTATGTTAATCACATCACGCCACCTATTTGGTTTGCGAAAACCAACGTGTTAAATCTTTTAATTCTGTCGATGAATGCTGTCAGTGAACTCTTGAATGGGATAAAAATTGGTGAAAATTCATCCGCGTAATCCTACACACCTGTTACATTTAGGGCATCACGTTTGTATGTGGCACCCACTAGGCGCGTGGCTCTGGGAGGTTTGAAAATGCCGGCGACTTGGAGCGCTTAGAGCGAGATTTCCATCTCCACGACGAGCGAATACAAGAGTACGAGGCGATGGTCATCCAATCGACAGGTACGTACACACCCACGTACAGAGCATGACACACATACTCGACATTGTCGCCATGGTCAATCCACTGCTGGATGAAGGCCTCCAAAAATCGCCACCTCTCGCGATCCTGCGATGTAATAATCCATCCAGCACCTGCACACGAGCTGATTCCATCGCTCCATTTCCTCAGTAGATCCGCCATTGGATGTGTCAATTCCTTGTTTGCGTTATTATTTTTGATAGGCGTCCATTGTCTCTTGTTAGCATGTCCTGCCGAGGCCCACTCGCCTCTATTAATAATGTATTTGTTGACCTGCAATAGCCTGTCTGCTCCATGTGAACGCGAGCTGAAAAGTTTGTGCAGTATTTTTAAGGCGGTTATTTGTGTGCTGCTGAGCGAGGCAGGACTGCTAAATCCGGCAAATCGTCTGTAGCTGTGCTTGTTTGAGATGCATCTGTTACAGGGTGGATCTACTGCACACATGGTGATGTGGTAATGCCTGTAAATGATCGATATTTAATAAATAACCTAATATCTGTTCCTCCACAGCATGGTCTGTACACGGCCTTCTGGGAGTGAATAGCTTGAACGGGATTGGTGCAATACAATCTCTTGACTGGTTTTGACTTTCAGTGTTTCATGAATAATCAGGCTAAACCAATAATAGTTCTAACTGTCAGAGAGATATATATATCCTGTGTAGGCAAGGACCCTTTCCAAATGTATGCAATTCATCAGCATTGGTTTGCTCTGAGAAGGTAATGTGGCTGATAGGATGTGTAAAAAATATTAATATTTTTGTGTGGAGGATGAGATATGGGAAGGATACGTATCGTCTGTTGATTCATGGTTTAATTCAAGTGATAATTTAAGGCACCACCAACACATCAAACGGTGTTAAGGTTTCCGCCACACCCCATGTTCAGTACATCCACACGAAACTAAACTTTTTTTATTCTACCAGGTAAGGCCCACTGAGCTAGATCTATATGGAAAACGAATTTCTTTACAAATGCTTTTTATTTTTTGATTTAAAGCTTTCGTGACTGCAGTAATTCATATTCTTAGTTCTTTCGGTAAAGTCACGTTGAAGGGAAACAATAAAATAATAAAATATTATGATTTTATTGTAAAATATTATTTTATTGTTTCCCTTTAACGTGACTTTACCGAAAGAACTAAGAATATGAAATGCTTTTTATGTTTAGTTGTTCTTCCTCTACACCTCCAATTAGCACGGTTGGCTATGTTCGTTCCAAAAGAAGTTCAACATACATAGTTCTTTTTCAGAAGTGACCTGGCCACAAATGATAACTCAATGAAGTGGCTTATCCCGGGGAAATTTCTAGCAGTAGCCAAATACTCTAAATGCATTATTCTAAATGTGAAGGGAAAATCCAGAGGACCCGGAGAAAAATCCACGTGACTATGGGGAGAACAAACAAACTCCAAATGTACACATCAGGGTCGGGATCGAACCCATGATTCCTGTATACCAGGCGAGGTAGTTAACATCTCGCCACTGTGGCACCCTGTAGCGAATACTTCTCAAAATAAACGCAGCTACAAACAACTCTCAAAATATCTGAAGACTGTTTCAGGAGTGTCCTGAAAACCTTTCCTAGTCCGGCAATGTTGCTACGTCTAATCCCAGTTGAGTATGTTCAGGTAATTATTGAGCATTGGGATGTTTGGCCAATACCCGTTACATGGTTTATTTTAGCTGTATATAAAAAACGCAGAATATGAAGGAAACTGACGCAGAACAGGGGGAGAAAATAGAAACTCCACTCACTCTCTCCCACTTTGTAGAATGTATGTATGTATGTTGAACTTCTTTGGCACCGCGTATGTAGCCTTCAGTGCTAATTGGGGGTGTTGGGGAAGGACAACAAACTAAACACAAAAAGGAGTTGTAAAAAAATACTTTTCAATCTAGATTTCAAATTACAAAGCTCAATTGGCTTCCTAATATTGGAAGGAAGCGCGTTCCAGACGGCCGCAGAAGCACATGAAAGCGCATTATGCAGTGACCATCTTTGTTCGATGGTTAGCCAAAAGCCGCTGTGAGGGTGACCAGAGTTTGCGTGATGGTTCATGCTCCTGACAAGATCATCAAGGTATTGTCGTTTATTTGTGGCAAACACTTTGTGTGTAATGAGTGCTACTTTATAATGTTTCGTTTGGAAACTGCAAGCCAATGCAGCTTAGCGAGCACTGGACAGACAAATGGGGAGAACATACAAACTTCACTCACACTCACTCATGCACCCTCCTTCCACTCTCTGTAGAATGGCATGCACACTCACTCTCACTATGTTAATGGAGAGAACAAACTCCACTCACATTCACTCTCGCTTTATAGAATGAGGAGAACAATTAAACTCCACTCACACTCACTCAGTTATGCACACTCACTTTCACTCACTCTCTCACTGTAGAATGGGGAGAACAAACAAACTCCACAGTCACTCCTACACACTCTCTCTCTGTCACTGTAGAATGGGCAGAACAAACAAACTCCACAGTCACTCATACACAATCACTCTCTCACTGTAGAATGGGGAGAACAAACAACCTCCATAGTCACTCATACACACTCACTCTCTCACTGTAGAATGGGGAGAACAAACAACCTCCATAGTCACTCATACACACTCACTCTCACTGTAGAATGGGGAGAACAAACAAACTCCACAGTCACTCCTACACACTCACTCTCTCACTGTAGAATGGGGAGAACAAACAAACTCCACTCACACTAATGCACACTCACGCTCACTAACTATCACAATCTGTAGAGTGGAGAGAACAAACGAACTCCACTCTCACTCATGCACACTAACTATCTTTTGCTCTGTAGAATGGGGTAAACATACAAACTCCATGCAGAAATGTTCCCCGAACCCAGGCCCTTCTTGCTGTAAGGCACTGGGTGTTACGAATGAACCACCCTGTCACCCTAATGAGGCTCCTATCCTGGTCTATTGAGTTATTATGTGGTTAAAAAAATAAACTTGAAACTTGAAAATATTCTGAGTTGACACAGGAAAGTAATTCATGAACTCCCAAGTAAACACATTCCCGACGCTGTTCTCAGTCAACACAAATTGCCATGTTGTTGTTGCCTCAGGTTATATATATATAAAAAAGAATTGTACACCAATGGCCATGTGCATGATTATCATAACATAAATAAAGTTATTTCCTGCACAAATGAGCATTGATAAAGTGCTCATTTCCGTTTACAGCCCTGAGCCAGTGGTGAAAATTCCACATTCCTTTGACAGTGGCAAGTGTATCAAGAGGATGACCACTGTTGACTTTTTGCACAATATGGTACTCACTTTATTGATCCTGCAGAGATGCTTGACCGAGTCGACCGTCAACCGGGATGTGACCTGGCAACCTTCCGATTGGGAGCTGCTCGCTATATCGCTGAGCCAGCTCGTCTGGTCTTCATAATAAAAGGCACCCATTCGTGTAATTCTTTCAGGACGCAACATGAACACAGTTGATGGAGCCGGAATCCCAGATAAGCAGCTGAAGGAAGAGAGAAGTAAACTGCATAACTCCTTGCAGCGTCTGCGAGAGTTGATGAGCATGGGATACGTGAACAACGGTAATGCACAGTGCTGGATAGAGGCGCATCTTAGGCGAGGCTGTCTCATGAGTTACAAGATTACTAAGCTGACACATCTCTTCCATATCTGTCCTTCTACATGAAACATACAAAGTATCTTTTACACACGCTGCCAGCCACACTACCTTTTGGAAGTACATAATTTCAGTAGCATTGGTTCAATGCAAATTCTGGACCAGTTTAGACATTTAATGTCTCATCAGCAGAATCAGGCTTCCTTGAACCAATGCTGGTGAACTGCCGGATGTGACAGGCAAGGACCCTCTCAAATATGGGTTCTAGGTCGACTCAACTAATATCACACAACACAATATAATCACGAGCATCATGGAGCATCGAAGATTGTGCTTCATTAATGCCTTCATTAAACAGAATTTTCAGGTTTGTTAACAACAGAGGTAATCTATTAATGTACAGAGATACATTCCAATTGTAGGTAAGAGATCGCTTGCGTTGTGATCGAAACGTCGTGCAGTCACGAAAGCTTTAATACTTTATTATCACACTTCTACGGGGAAGTTACCGTTGCAATTATGTGTAAGATGTGCCCTTTTTGAGCTGCCGTTTTGTATTTACAAGAGGTGGTCCTTTTTTGAGCTGCCGTTTTGTATGTGTAAGATGTGCGTGTTTGAGCTGCCGCTCTCGCTCTGGCCCCTCCCCGCCTCCAACCGTATTTCCTATTTAAGCTTCTGTTCATCCCTCCGACACCCCCCCCTCTCTCTCTGCCTCCCTGTCCGTCTTTCCTCCCTCCTTACCTCGTGGTGGACTTGTATATGTATTTCTACCGACCGTGTACCTCGTATTTTTCATTCTATCTATGCTGGTATGTGCAATCCAAAGATTGAACACGAAATTTAACACTCTTCTGAAATTCGTGGTCCGCCAGGAAGTGTCTAACTGTGTTGTTGGCCTCACTGGATGTGCTTCACGTAATGTTTTTTCAGGTTTGTTGAATTCTTGTCTCTCATATTTTTGTTGTATTTACCTCCGTGATTTGTTCTGACACCTGATGATCGCTTGCGTTGTGATCGAAACGTCGTGATTGTTTTTTGTTTTAATATAATTTTATTGTATTTCTACATACGTGACTTTACCGAAAAAACCAAGGAGTAATTTTATGCAGTCACGAAAACTATAATACTTTATTGTAGGTAAGAGATTTGCAGTAAAAGTGCCATGTGCTTGCCTTGCTCTTGTTCTGTTTGGCCGGGTGGCTAAGTGGTAGAGTGAGGGGCTCACAATCGGGAAGGTCGTGAGTTCACATTCTGGTTGAGAGTTGACTCAGCCCATCATCCTTTCGGGGTCAATGATGCAAGTTCCACTTTGTTGGGAAGTCAAAAATGATTGATCCATAGGTAGTCTCTCCCCCCGTCATAGGAATATGGAATTTCCCCTACTGCCGCAAGGCTGTGAACAGAAGAGCACCACCTCAATGCTCATTTGAGCCGGAAATCACTTAGACTTTTTTATATCAGTCTTAAACATCTGGTGATAGGTCATGTTATAATTTGTCTCGTTTAAAACTATGTCTGAAAGGTAACTTCCCCTTTCAGCACTGCATATCTATGAAGTATAAAAGTGCTGGATAACTCAAAATACATTAAATATTGACAGGGGACACTAATGAACTTTCCTGAGTGTTGATGTTGCAAATTGCACTTTGCAAATCAGGAACAGCTGGCATAGAACTGGATTATGTTGCTCTACCAATATTTCCACATTGTTCTATATCTCGTGTTTGCACAGAGTTCACCGAGCCTGTTGCAATGGAACTGTGGGAAATGGCCCAACAAGCAAACCTCTCTGAGAAAGAGCTGCACGATGTAAAGGTACGTGGCTCAAGTTCATTTTGTTTAGCGAGGAGATAACTCAAGAGACCAGGTCAGCCTCATTTGCAAGAACATGTTTTTGTGTTGACTTTCTTGTCCTTCCCCCGCACCTCCGATAAGAACGGTTGGCTACGTATGGTGCGAAGGAAGTTCAACATACATGCTGACCTGGGTCACCACAATGACAAAAGCAATCGCACAAAGACAAGTACAATTAAGCAAATAAAAATTGGAGCTAAAACAACCACGTGACAGAAGAACTTGCACGCGTCTCTATGCATCTTTGCACTTTTTTCCATTGTCGTGTCTTATGTTTTTCCTAAATGACCATGTTTCTGAACCATATGTTGTAGCAGGTGTTATGTGCCGATTAATAACTTATTTCTCTTGGTGTATGGAGTCAAAGTATATGGAGGTGGTCATGAAGGTTTGTTACAGTTTTTAAGGGAGTGTCCTCAATGTTTTTTCGTGGCCCAAAGTAGGCTTTGTTCACATAATTAAGTCAGCAAGCTACGATTTAATTTGTGTTTGAATGTTTACGAATAGTTTAGAATGTTGGCTTGTGTTAAAAGACACCGTGTCTGACATGTTTGCGTACGATCTCGTTCGTGTCCAAGTGTAAGCATAGTCTCTTTAATCCCCAGGAGGAACTCTTGACATTGGAGCGAATCTCAGAAAAACACAGCCATTTCCGCGAACAGCTGCAGGTGTCCCACGAGAAACTTCAGCACGCCAAGGCGACGTATGACGATGTCCCCTTTGGCAAGACGGCACAGGACAGTAAACGGGAAAATGTAAAACTATCGCACGATGTGGATCGTCTTGGTGAAACGCAACGCAGGCATAATGAGTTGACGGACAAGACACGCTCGCTAGCGTACAAGGTGAGAATTTGTTTACATAGGTTACAATTATTTCCACTGAATGTGTTGGCTACAGGGTCATGGATAAATATCATTATATTCTCCACAACGATGTGAATGATAATTTTGTGTTTTGTATTGTATAGTTTTGCTTTGAACTAGGACATATGTATGTATGTTGAACTTGTTTCGCACTGTATGTAGCCAACCGTGTTAATCAGAGGTGCAGGACATACATCTAACTGAGAAGGACCTTGCATATAAAGATTTGCCAGTTCACCAGCAAGCCTGACTGCTGATGAGCCACTGAATGTCGAACACCAGTCCATATTTAGCTTGTGTTGAACCAATGCTGCTTGAATTATGTACTCCCAGATAGCCTGTTGGCTGATGGGATGTGTCAAATATATATTTTTTACATGGAGGGACAAATATGTGAAGGAGGTGAATTCTGTATTTATTTTGTTATTCACAACGATGCGAATGATTGTCGTTCTTTATGGATCGTTTAAAGAGTCTGCAAGGTATGTATTGATTATGCTTCCCATGGTGACATCTGTGTGCGATCCCATGTTTACAAGGCACAAGTTATTCACCCATGGTCTTGCAGCCATTTTCTCTCCCGCGTTACAACTTTATCATTGCCTGCATTGTCTTTCCAGTGGCACTTTGAGTCAAATGAGCTGTAAGGCTTTTGTGTTAGAGAAATATAACCTGCTCAAAGGCATTTTTCAAATTAACTTTTTAACTACAAATCATTTTACTTGAAGAGGCATCTTGAGCTTAGTTTTTTAAATATTTATTTTTATGTTATTGCTAACGAATATCTTCAATGGAAGATATTTTTATCTCTGCAAATTTCAAAGAACAGATGAAAACGGTAAACTCGTTTAAAGCATTACATTGTGAAATGCTTTATCCACTCACCCTCTCCCTGCTCTGAAGGGCCAATGACTACGACATTGACTTCGTAGTTTTTGCTGCAATAGTGCAGCGTTAACATCACATCAAATGACCAAGTGGAAGACCTAAGAGCAGACGGTGGGAAACTGGGATGTAACCGTCTTCCTCTGTACAGCAGCTGCGAGATCTAGCGGAGGGGTAGAGAGCTTTGGCGGCGGGGTGTGGTGATGGTGGCCTTGAATGGCGTTGGGCACAATGACGTTTTCAACTTGGACAGCGGTGACGAGATTTTTCAGTCTTGGAAGTGGCTTTAGCAGAGTGGTAGCCAAGGAATGGACCGTGTCCGAGAGGATGTCCGTCGAGTGTATGGAGCGATGAGAGCAGCTTGCGTACCGGTCGGTGCTGGGTGGATTGTTGCATCGCAGGATCGCGAGAGGTGGCGGCCATGGCAGCATTAGGAGACCTTCATCCAGCAGTGGATCGATTGTGGCAGATAATAATTATGTAATTGCTCAATGCTTATGAAAGTGGAATTTTTAATGCATTCAAAGTAATGATCATAACAATGTTCAGGAATGGCCGTAGAGGTTCTGATGAGAACGTACGCAGCACATGCAATGCTGGTCGCTGGTGGTCACGGTGCGTGTTCTGTGGCACTGTGTGGTTACAGGTCAAGAAGTTGCACCAGGATATTTCCACTCGCCTCTCCCGACCGCTTTATCGACAGCACAATGAACTTTGACAAACGCACACATGGTACACATGGGCTTGGTTTAGTCAATGTACGTATGTGATAGTTGTAATAGTGTTGTGATTCAAATTACAGAGCAGTTACTAATGTTTTTTTTTATAATTCAAGTTGCCTATTTCTTAAAATCACTTAATTTTTGCACGTGTCCTCGATGCATAATTTTCTTGATTAAAGTAAACATGTTCACTTTGCAAACACAAAGTTTGGTTGATGTCTTTGTTCAAATCATGACATAAAAAGTACGAGGGTTTTTCAGAGAACATGTTTGCCATCGCCTTGACAGACTTTCTCTGCATGGTCACCTGATGATGACCGTTTGTGTTATGGTCGCAACGTCGTGAGAATTTTTATTGTTTTATATATATTTTATTATTTTATTGTTTCCCTTCAACGTGACTTTACCGAAAGAGCTAAGAATATGAATTACTGCAGTCACGAAAGCTTTCAATCAAAATTGAACTCTACTTACAACCGCCGGGTCCGTAGCGCAGGACGTAAACCGCTACACTACCGCTCCCTACACTCCAACACAAACAGCTATCAAAATTCAGACATTGGCTCCATATCGCATTCGCCGCTTATTGCAGAGATTTGCGGTTCAAATCTGGCAGGCCGCCCTGGTTAATACTGAAGTGCATGTTGCAAGTTACTCTGGCAGCAACATCACGAGGAAGAGATGGTGCAAAAAGAACAGCTCATATGCGGGAGAAAGATGGATAATGGCATCGTAGGGCTAAAGGATGACAATGGCATTCTACCAAGTAAGGGCCCGCTGAGCTATATAGCTCTTTTTCAGAAGTGACCTGGCCGCAAATGATATCTTAACGAAATGGCTTTTCGTTCTGGGGAATTTATAACAGCCAAATATTCTAAAACGCGTGTTTCTAAATGTTGAGTTAACTGGAGCTTCCGGAGAAAAATCTAAGCGACCATGGGGAGAACATGCAAACTGCAATTATACAGGGGTCGGGATTGAACCCACGACCTCCTGTATACCAGGTGAAGTAATATCTCGCCACCACAGTGCCCATGACTGTCAAGGTCACCCTCGGCACAGACGTCTTATGGTTGGTCCTTGGACCGTAATGGCACCACTCTCTTCACAGCCTCCCATTTGGAGCATCTATTACATGCCCAGAGAGATGGAAATCTGAAGTGGCTGGGTCTGGGTTCTTCCGAATGTCCCAGATCGTTCCAGCCAAGCGTTCTCAATGTTCCCGTACGGTATGTGAGCGTCCGGTATGTGAGCGTCCATGGGGGGCGGGGGGTGCACTTTGAGTGTCTCGCGTTGCCGGCCACACGCTTGGGTATCCGCCATTAAAAGGGAAACCTTGTTGCGCGTGAATTTCGCCGTCTCGACGTGCTCCGCATGCTGCTGGCAAACCAGCTTTACCGGCGCCACTCAAGCAGCACCTGTGCACTAGACTCGGCAATGTACGTATCCAAGGTTCAGCTCCCTCGTCCTTCTGGAACATTGTTATAAGTTATATCAGTCACGACCAGCTATATATTTTCACATACATTCACATCACGGTTCACCAGCATCGGTTCAAGCAATCCTGACTGCTGATGAGACATGTCAAAATCGGCCCTATTTTGCTTCTGTTGAATCAACGCCGGTGAAATTACGTACTGTGGTCGATGGGATGTGTAATTTTTTTATGCGGAAGGAACATATATTGTCTGCGTGTTTATTTTTTTGTTACCACTTTCTCCATAATGACAGTAGATGCTTTTACGTCCATTAACTATGGGATAGGCGGAGGGAGTTGAGACGTTCAGGCCAGTTGTTTGAGGTCGCTGCGCGTTCACTGTGCTGCTACTGTGCTGCTACTGCAGCTGCGGCAGCTGGCGGAGAGGAGGACTCGTCGGTAGCGAGGAGGTGCGGTGGTGGCATCGGCTTCTGCGTTAGGGAGTGCACATGCTCCCTGAACCTGCAGAATTGGGTGTTTTGTAAACTGCACCCTCCGATTAGCACGGTCGGCTAAGTACGGCGCGAAAGAGGTTCAGCGTACACACATTGGTGATGTTGAAGTTGGGGATGCTACTGATGTTGACGAGCGTGAAGTTGGTGATGTTGATGAAGTTGACGATGAAGGTGATAATGCTGACGCTGATTATAACGGCAATGTATTTGAAGTTGATGGTGATGTAGATGGTGTTAATGGTGGTTGACAGGGACGCAAGTCAGTGTGGCGTTGATGGAGACGTGAAGTTTTTTGGGAGTTGCGATTGTTACGTTTAGGTATTGATGTTGGCAAGGGTGATGATGAGGCAATGCAGATATGGGGAGGATGTTGATGACAATGTTGATGTCGATGGAATTCGTGATGATGGTCATGACAGTGATGGTGAGCTGGGTAGATGATGATGACGATCGCATTGCCTTTGGCGACGATGCAGTTTAAGTGGGAATGTGTTTTCTTGACACTTTATGGTGGTGCGTTTAAGTGGCAATGTGGCTGCTATGGCTGTAGCTGTTCATTTTATTACGTTTCAGTTCTAGGGAGATTTACTTTTTTGGTGTGGGCTTGGGGTAAATAAACGTCCGGGCTAGCCGTGGGAGCTCCTGCGCAGCGCCTGACCCCTTTCGCCCACTTGAGATTCGTGCCCGGGCGGAGGGAGGCAGGTGCTCGTGTTCAAGTGCAGAAGGTACCCACAGCTCCCCCTGGGCTGGGATGCCGACGTGGAGTGGATGTAGACAGCCCCAGCAGAGGATGGGTTGCAGCTCCTACCACCCAGCTGCTTTTGATAGTCAAATATTGGAGAGAGCTGCGATCTCAGTGACCTCTGTAACGGTGGAATCATTTAAATGACAAACGTATAATTGAAACACGTTCATTGCGTCATAGTATACGTTTCAATTACACTTAGCAGAATACATTACATTCATAGTGATGTACAACGTAAAACGTTCAGTGATTTTCTGCTCAAACGAGCCATGAGGTCGTGCTCATCTGAGATCAGTGGGGGAAATCCCGCGTGGCGAGACTCCGTTTATTTCCTCCACAAAGTGGATTGACGCAGCCCAGCGTTGATGGGCTGCATCAATCCCAAACCAGAATGTGAGCTCGCACGTCCCGATTAGCCGTTTGCTCCGTGGCTCAGCCACCTGGTCCTTTGGTCAATCGACTACTGGATGAAAGCCTTCCCCAGCCATGACGGTCACGATCATACTTCACCACGCCGGTCAGTGCGGGTGGGTGAAGAGGGACGCCCGTGACCGGTTGGGAGATTGAATGCACCACTGATGATGGCCATGGCTGGGGATCGAACTCTGCTTACCTGTTTCATAGTGCAGTGCGCTCACCGCTGTGCCACCACCCCGTCCTATGATAACACTCACCCTTACGGTTGCGTGAGTTTTTATACAGACATCTGTGTTCATTTATGCGAAAGGCAGCAGCAGGCAGCTGATGCAATCCGAGAGGGACGTTGGTGTTTGGCGGAGGCTACGTCACGGAAACACAACAGGATGCAAATTAGCGTCTGGCTCCCAAGATCAGCACCTCCAATAAATCGATACAGTCGCATTCATTTTGGTTTATTGTGGTTTGCGCAAAAGCAGATGAAGACATACAATTAAAATAATGATACGTTACAAGATGTATTAATTCGCTTTAACGTTGCCATAACGTCCGCGTGTAGTATCCACGTTGATATATTTGAGTTATTTCTGTAGTGAGCAACACTTATCTCTTATCAGTTCACAATGACTCGTTTATTATGCGTAGCATGGTGGTCGTGAGACCGTAACCGCAATTCTCGCTTGGCAGATTAGATACGGGTGCCGTGTATGCACATGCTCGTGGCACTGGTCTGTAGGTATGGCAGTGATCTGTGGTTGTGGCAGTGGTCTGTAGGTACGGAAGTGGTCTGTGGGTGTGGCAGTGGTCTGTAGGTACGGCAGTGGTTTGTAGGTACGGCAGTGGTCTGTAGGTACGGCAATGGTCTGTAGGTATGCCAATGTCATTCCTGCGGAAATGCTGAGAGATTCTTGGTTATCTTGCAACTAGCTGGAAGGTATCTATTTTAAACCACAGGTTTATGTCAATCCACTGCTGGATGACGGTCTCCCCACCCTGTGCAAGTCATGGGGTGTATTCGACCATACTTCACCGCGCTGATCATGGCAGGCAGGTTTAGCCTTGACTCGCACACTGTTGTTCGCCATAGCCAGGAATCCAAATCGAGTCACCGGGTTCCTAATGCAGGGTACCAACCACGGGGTATATCTGCCATTCGAGGGCAGCAACGGAGTAATATGGTAACTTGTCCCACTCATTATACCTTAAATTAGTGTGTAGACTTCAGTGGTGTCATTGTGCTTTGTAATGAACTATAACGTCGAGGGCTCCCTTTGGCGGCGGCATGTGCACAAGCGCAGTCTTTCAAGTTACAGTAGTTTGTTTAATCAGATGACAACTCGAGAAACCAGCAGTCTCATTTGCGGGAGTGACCTGAAGTAAAATGCCACGTGCCACATTTTATCCAGAGCGCTGCCGTACGATGGACGACAAATGTATCGGGCTAACGTTTTGGGCAATGGCCCTTTGTCAGAGAGGGAGAGAGCAGAGAGAGATTGACTGACCTGCGTTGGAGATTGCGCTGCACATTGTGGGTCCCGGAGCAATCTGGGTCATTGTAGGACAGCGAAAGAGCGCTGAGTTCATGTACTATGTGTGTGCAAATTTTCCACATTTAGAATGTTTAGATATTGAGAATGCAAAATTTAAAACCGCACAATAAGCAAGTCTGTTGTGTTAATTAAAACATAATTTAAAGGTATTATGGAAAAATTGCACAGTGTGAGGCTCTGAGAAAACTGGGACAGTTCAAAGTGCGAGGCAGTGGCTCAGCTATTGACAAACTTAGACCACACCACGCCATCATGAACATCGTTGTGCAGGATATCAGCAACAAAATAAGGAAGCAGACATACGGATGCTCCCCGTGCGTGTCTTCCGATATTTATTTAAAAAATTACACATCTCAGCCACATGTCCTTCTGAAATACACTGCCAGAAGGCCGTGTGGCTGATGGGATGTGTAACAGTGTATGTGGAGAGACAATATGGGAAGCGCATGCTCTGCTCGTTCGTGCGATTGACAAACGCGATGTGTCCACTGTAGGGGAAAGCCACTGCCTTCTGGTCCAGAAGCTTCCAACCGCGTAATGCACACTCTTCATCTTG